AAGGAGGGGAGAGAGAATCCTGGGAGGAGGCAGATGCAGGTGACTCTGCTGCCACTGGTACCCTGTCCCCATTCCCCAAACTCTGTCCCCATTCCCCTGTCCCCAGCCACAGAACTCTGTCCCCATTCCCGTCCCCACTCCCCGAACTCTGTCCCCACTGGCACCCTGTCCCCTGCTGCAGAACCCTGTCCTCTGCCCTCCCAGCACCCTGTTCCCTCTCTCCTGCCCCCAGCTGCAGAACTCTATCCCCACAAAATGTATAATTATAAATGCTTCATTTTAGATTTAAATATCATGAATAAAAAACTGACCATTTATTTCATAACTATAAACACGTGATTTTAATTTTATATATCGCATAATTTAAAAATAAAGTGTTTATCAGAGTGTGTAAGTAAGGGCTGGGGATAGCAAGTGATGGACAGGAGGAGAATAAAGAGGGCGGGGCTTCAAGGAAGGGGCGGGGCGGTAGATCTTTGCCTGTTCTGAGATTTAAAAAGTGATCTTCGGTGTAAAAAGGTTGGAGACCACTGCCTTACGCTATAATGCTTTGTGCTGCCAATATGCTAGATCACTTACTGGTAGTTTGGTGTGGAAAGGTGTCCTACTGTGGAGTAAGGCAATCCTCGCTAGAAACTTTTGAGAAGGATTAAAGAGTGCCTCTGAGAGCTTTGTAGAGATATGCAAGGAGGATTCCCACTCCATCTCCAAACACGTTAACACACTTTTCTTTGGAGTCCCTGCTGTCTAGGCAGAATGGTCACCACTGTACCGCTCAGGGCAGATCACACTGATAAAACTCAATTACATTTACCCACAGTAGCATGATTACAAATGTGAACTCACCAAAAGTGCCCTTCTCACCTTCATGATATGGCAGCAAGAAGTTTTAAGAGGGGATTGGCCCCAGAGTTAAAGAAAGGTCCTGACTGTTGATGAGATTGGATCTTCTGCTTGCCTGCTGAGCATTCTCATCGTCATCTACAATTTCATTACCGTAGGGCCCCGGGAACCTCACAGGGTTTTTTCCACCGTGCCCTATGTGATTTTGGCATAGACATCAGAGTTTCTTCTGTTGTTTCAGAGCTCTGCCTGTACAGATGCCTCTCCCCCATACAGCAATCAGCTCCTGGATCTCCTGCATGCTCCAAGCTGGAGCTTGTTTGTAATCCTGGGCATTCATGGTCAGTCAGGTGTGCTGCTGGTTTCCCCCATGTTAGCCAAACAGAAAACGAAATTCTTAAATTCCCAAGGCTTTTCTTGTGCACCTGTAAAAGCAGCAGAATTGAAATGCTGGCCAGAGTGGTCACATTGGGGCACTGTGGAAAACTTTCCAGATTCCAAGAACATCGACTTGAACAGCACTCTGTCTGCACTCTCCCAAAGTCGACCATGCAAGGTTGAATTTAGTGCTACTCCTCTCATTAAGGAGTACAGAAATAGACTTTAACTGCCCTTAAAGTCAGTGGATCACGCTGGATGGTGTAGACCCATTGGTTATAAAATCGGCCAACTTTGACCTTATCTCCTCGTGAAGAGCAAGCCTCTGGAAGGGAATAAGAATTAAATGTCAAAGAACTACTGCCATATTTACTAGAACAGTCAGTGTTTTCTACTGTGCTACAGGAAAAAGATCAGGAAAAACGCAGAATTAATGGGGGGGTTTTCCAGATTTTGTGTATCTTGGAGCTGGTATGCTATAGTTAAGTGGATGTAGCTGAACATGACATCATGTATTATGTCTTTTATGACCTTGCTAGTTGGTCTATTATGTTCTGGATGACAAAGAAAAAAATACCAAAATGATGTACAGTGTACATCAGTTAAGAAGGGAAAAAATTTAACCATCTTCTGACTAAAGTAGTTGAGATGTTAAGTTAATAACAAGTTTGCTGCTACAGTAAGTGCTAAACTATTCAGTTCATAATACATATTAATGGTGTTACAGGGGGCGGGAAGAGCTGGGTACTTTGATGCTTTAAACACACCTCAGGTGTTGCACTTAAATTTTTATACTCTGCATCAATAAACGAGCCCAGCGGAGGTTCAGTTTCTTACTTTATTTTTCAAGAGTGCTTTGTACAGTCTAAGTGGGGAAAAAATTACTGTAATCAAAAAAACACATTTAAAATAAATAATTGAAGTTTTCATTGTCATTGTGAACTCTGAAACATCCTTTAATGTAAAATACTCCTTCATTTCCAGGATGAAATTTTGGTGCCAATTACAGTTTTTTATAATACAAATTCTAAGGAGCTACACAGGAAACCACTTCTGGTTCATGTATATGGAGCTTATGGCATAGATTTGAACATGAGCTTTAAAACGGAGAAGCTGATGCTAATTGAAGATGATTGGATATTAGCATATTGCCATGTAAGGTAAGATTCAGTTATATAATGTAATAAAGATTTTTATTTGTAGGGCACTTGGTCAATATTTTAGAAACTCATCTGGACAGCTATGAAAAGTCTTTTCATTTTGCTGTCATGTACTGTAGCCATTCCTATACAATCACATTTCTATCTCTCCACAAAATTATTGGTGTCCTTTTTGGTAATTACTTAATTCTAATTACAGCTTAAGTGCCCTAAAACAAATTTGGTTACATTCACGAGATCTATGCACAATGCTTAGGTGTTTCTTCAGGATGTTTGTGTTTGATTTTTCAGCCAACTCTTTACAGCAGTGTTTCTGAAAGTGTTCCACGGAATCACTTTGAGAAACACATTAACTGACCACCCCAGTTTGTTTATTTACTGGTGCCCTGGGCACAGAGCCTCGCAGCTCCCATTGGCTCCGTTTCACTCTTTGCAGACAAGGGGAGCTGTGGGAAGCAGTGGCCCGGCCCACGCTGCTTCCCGTGGCTCCCGTTGGCTGCAAAGGACGAAACGGAGCCAGTGGGAGCTGCGAGGCTCCATGGCCACAGTGCCAGTAAATAAACAAACCGGAGCGGCCAGTTAATGTGTTTCTCAAAGTGATTCCGTGGAACATTTTCAGAAACACTGATTTACAGTATCTCAGGCTTCTCTAATACACATAATTTTCTGTAGAAGTCACGTCTTATTCTTGGTCAAAAAGCATAATTTTTGCTATTATGTTCATGTTGTAAGGATATACCACCACCCTCTTTTTTACCACAAATGACTCTTTCCACTTTTCATCTGGTTCTAAAAAATTCATGCATCTGTTCAGATACACAGATACTCCATTATTTCTCAGTTATGTTCTTTAAAAGGAAAAAATGTTGCTTAAGTGAGATGAAATTCTATTTATTGCTTGTGAGACCTGTTTAATTAAAAGTCAGCTTCTGAATCCACAATTACATGTATATTTTGCTATTGCTTAATGGAAAATATTATTTTTCTCTTAGCATCCTAGCATATGTTTTCCCATTTTACTTGGTTCATAATGATAATATTATAGATAAAAAATTCTGACAATTTAACTAATTGAGATTTTGTTTTAAATTAAAAGGATGGTGTTATATAATTTAGATCCATATTACTGGTTTGTGAAAAATATTTCTGTGACATTACATACGTAGAATCATAGGATTGGAAGAGACCTCAGGAGGTCATCGAGTCCAAACCCCTGCCCAAACCAGGACCAACCCCAACTAAATCATCCCAACCAGGACTTTGTCAAGCCAGGACTTAAAAACCTCTAGGAATGAAGATTCCACCACCTCCCTAGGTAACCCATTCCAGTGCTTCACCACCCTCCTAATAAAAGTTTTTCTTAATATCCAACCTAGACCTCCACTGCAACTTGAGACCATTGTTCCTCATAGATGAAAGTACTAGCAGATTTACCCAGTGTTCCTCATAGCCATAAATCAATTAAGGTGTTTTTTTTTAATAAAAGGAAAATGTACATACTTCATAAAAATTATTTTTGAAAAATAAAGTTAATTTTTATTTCAGTATTCTTAAAGGCATTGTTAAAATTTTTCATTTAATTTTATTTAGCAATTTTTTAAAAATAGGAATTCCATCAAGAATGTTTTTTCTTCAGCCCTATGAACTCTTTCATTTACTGTGTTTTAACAAAAAAGGAATATAGTCAATTTGGTTTCCAATAACATTGTCTTCTAGTTTTAAAACCATAAGCATTGATTTAGCTATGCCAAAACAGAGCACTACTCCAACTTTATCCATTTAATCTCTTTTCTGCAAGGTTTATTGAGAAGCACTCCTGTTCCAGCTTCATCCTATTTTTCTGGCTCACCTTAATTCAGTCTCTTTCAACATTTGTTCAGTTTCATCAGTTTGTATATTAAACAGTACTTGATTTGGTGATTGTCTCTTTTCTGTTTGGTTTTATGAGATGCAGTCTCATTCCAGGTACATCTCCTTTTCCTGGAACAACCAAACCCTTACGTTGCCTTAAGTTATAAGAGGAAACTGTATCCTGAATTTGGTGCCTAGCTCTTATTGTTTAGGAGGAGTTCTTGAACAAACAGACACTCTCTAAAATATATGGTAGATTTAAAAAAAAAAAAAGAATTGAACTTTCCTTGAAGTGTTTATATTCTACACATTATAGCACTGTGCAAATGTATAAGAGCCAGAAAGTGAAACTGACTAGCCTAGTGTTATAACTCAAATGGAATGAAAGGCAAAACCTCAAAGAATGTAATGGGTCAAAAAGTAACTCACTAATAAATTAAACACTGAAAAATTAAATAACAGAGAAATATGTATAAATAATTTTAAAGTGATATCTACTTTATTAATTTAAAATAATGACCTACTGTGCCAACAGCTTATTCAAACCTTCCCTTATAGTCCTTCTGTGATGACCTTATGGAATATTCATTCTAAGAAGATGGTGGCCTGTACAGTTCCAGAGACAGGGCACACATGTTTATGTAGAATAGCGATAGAAATGTAGCTGTGTTAGTCTGGTGTAGCTGAAACAAAAAACAGGACGATGTAGCACTTTAAAGACTAACATGATGGTTTATTAGGTGATGAGCTTTCGTGGGCCAGACCCACTTCCTCAGATCAAATACTGGAAGAAAATTGTCACAACCATGTATACCAAAGGATACAATTAAAAAAATGAACACATATGAAAAGGACAAATAAAATTTCAGAACAGAAGGGGGATAAGGGGGGAGGTATTAGCTCTCAGACATTTACCTCCCGTCCCCCTTCTGTTCTGAAATTTGATTTGTCCTTTTCATATGTGTTCATTTTTTTAATTGTATCCTTTGGTATACATGGTTGTGACAATTTTCTTCCAGTATTTGATCTGAGGAAGTGGGTCTGGCCCACGAAAGCTCATCACCTAATAAACCATCTTATTAGTCTTTAAAGTGCTACATAGTCCTGTTTTTTGTTTCACATGTTAATGTGTGTGTGTAAATTTTACCAAAATCCATGGACTTTTTCCCCCCGATATTTCTACCATAAAGATGTGATTAGATGTTTGCATGTAGCTAGATAGAAAGGAAGGGAGGGTTAGTTGAGGATAGTAAAACACTATTACAGATGGTGTTGATGATATCTTAATATTTGAAACATAAGCTGTGTGACATTTGTAACGTGAATTGTTTTAATTTCAGGGGTGGAGGAGAGTTGGGCCTGAGTTGGCATAAAGATGGATGTATGCATAATAAGCGCAATGGCCTTCATGATCTTAAGGCTTGTATAATGCTTTTGCATGAACTAGGATTTTCTCAGCCAAAGTATACAGCACTAACAGGTACCAGTGCAGGAGGAATTCTTGCAGGAGCTCTCTGTAATGCTAATCCAGACCTCATCAGAGCCATGGTTTTACAGGTGATGTTACTTATATTTCTAATGGAATAGGAGGTTAAACTACGTTGTTTATTTTATCATTTCTAAATTGAGAATTAGTCAGCAACTTCATACAGGCAGTCCCCAAGTTACGCGGATCCGACTTATGTCGGATCCGCAGTCACGAACGGGGATTTTCTCGCCCCGGAGAACTGGAGCGGCGGGACGCCTGGTCCCACCGCCCGCCTCCTCCGGGGCGAAAAAAGCTGCTCCCCGTCTCCTTGGTCTGCTGGGGGAGCCAGCAGACCAGGGAGATGGGGAGCAAAGCGGCGGAGGACCCGGGGCCGGACCCGCGGCCGCTTCCAGATCAGCTCCCGCAGCAGACCAGGGAGACGGGGAACAGCTTTTCTCACCCCGGAGGAGGCGGGCGGCGGGGGGCGGGGGTTCACCGCTCCAGTACTCCCGGGCGAGAAAATCCCCGTTCGTAACTGCGGATCCGCACT